CTGCTCTTCCGCTCTCCCTGTCTGGTCGTCTCCGTTTCTCTGCCCAGGTGGAGGATGGCGGGAAGGCCGCTTTGTCCCAGAAGATGCGCTCCGGGGACGAGCTTGTGAACATCAACGGCACTCCCCTCTATGGCTCCCGCCAGGAGGCGCTCATTCTCATCAAGGGCTCCTATCGCACTCTGAAGATGATCCTGCGGAGGTGAGGTGCATGAGCTGTGGTTACCCAGATGTTGTGGGGCATCCGGGGAGGGTGAGAACATTCTGGAGTTACTGGGAAGCAGCTGGGTGGCCGAGGTAGAAGCCCTTCCCCCCCCCCTTTGCCAGGGATCCTGAGCCTTCCTGCCCAGCGTGTTGCATGCATGGATGTGCAGATCCTGGCCCCTTTCTGGGCTCTAGCTCCCTGAATCTCTCAGCCACGATGGCCACTGGATCTCAGGAGCGGCAGCCTCAGATGGACCGTTCCACGCTTTGCTCTCCCGTCTCCTTCTCCTTTTTTCTTTTCCCCAACCCCCCACCACCACCTTGGGTCTGCCAGCAGAGGTGGAGGAACCCTTCTGAGGGGCATGTGAGAAGCCTGGCCGCCCGAAAGGCAAGTCAAGTGGCTAGTGGGCTGGAGTCCTCCCCACCCCACCCCCTGCGAGGGCCAGCTTTCTCCTGCTTCCTGCTTCCGAAGTGCAGCCTAAGCTCTCCTTTTTTCTTTTCCCCACCCCCCCACCACCACCTTGGGTCTGCCAGCAGAGGTGGAGGAACCCTTCTGAGGGGCATGTGAGAAGCCTGGCCGCCCGAAAGGCAAGTCAAGTGGCTAGTGGGCTGGAGTCCTCCCCACCCCACCCCCTGCGAGGGCCAGCTTTCTCCTGCTTCCTGCTTCCGAAGTGCAGCCTAAGCTCCTTGCTCCAAAGTGCTGCTGCTGCTGCTGCTTCTGCTGCCGCCGCCTGCCGTCCTGTGGCAGGAATTCGCTCCGGCCTCACCACGTGCTGCGGGCCAAGACAAACAGCGGAGGGGCGCCTGGGAGAGTGTCTTCCTCCTCCTCCCCTCCTCGCCCGTGAAAGAACTTGGGTTGGTCTGAAGCGGCTTGTTTTTCCCTTCGGCTACATCCTTCTTCCCCTCCCTCCACAAACAGCAGACAAACAGCGTAGGAGTTTTAAATTGTGCAATGCTCAGATACAAAGAAAGAAAGAAAAGAGAGTGTAGGAGTTTTTACTGTCTTGGTGCTACAGAACAAAGCAATTTTTAAAATGGGCACGAGAGGCCAAGCGGGCACCCAGACTCTCCTTTATGGGATGTAGTCAAGCTGGCAGAAGAATGAGCAGCGTTTCAAGTTATCCAGAGCTGCTCTTCCACCTCCTCTACCTCTTCCTCCTCCTTCAGGAAAGGCAGCAAGAGAAACTGGTGCAGGGTTAAAGAGAGAGAGAGAGAGAGAGAGCGCAAAGGTTTCCCTGGCATTCCCATACACAAGGCTGATGAGTAATCTGCAAATGTGGCAGGGCTCGGAGCAGGGGAAGGCATCGTCCTGCCGGCTTCCTGTCTGGAGAGCTGCAAAATGAGACTCCAGGCAGGTTTGCCCCTGCCCGCTCTTCTGGCTTGCTCCGAGGCTTGGGTGTGGCCCGTGGTTTCCATGAGGCTTTTGTGCTGCTTTTCCAACTTGGCTCCTTTGCATCGAGAGCGAAGCTGCTGCTGCTGCTGCTGCTGCCGCCGTCTGCGGAAGGGCTTGAAGACTGTGCGGGTGGGGGGTGGTAAGTCAGGGGCCACGCAGAGTCTGGAATGTCCCTTCTTCCCACCAGGGCTGCCTTGACCTCTGCCCATTTACCTGGGAGTAAACCGCCTTGGATTCTCCAAATGCCCTGCTGAGTAGAGGGGCTTCCGAGCCGAGCAGCGGCGAGGGCGGCCAGCAGGGCGCTTGTGGTCGCCTCTGGCCCCCCCCTCCCCAGCTCTGCCCTTTTCCCTTGCCTGCCCCCTTGCCCCACCGGTGGTTCTCCGTTTGCCTCGATGCGCTGGTGGGATCCACCACGGAGCCGGCAATGATCTCATCCTTCCTGCGCTCTGTCCCAGCCGCTTCCTGTGCAGGGTGAGTGCGGAGGCCAAGTCGGGAGGAGGCTGCAGCTGCTTCAGCCAGGGGAGGGCTGGAATTCCCCCAGCTGGGCCAAGCTCTGTCTTTCCTGGTGGGGACAGAGCCCCAGCCCTCGACACCGTCCATCCGTCCATCCGTCTGTCGGGCTGGCTCCTGCAGGCGGTGCCTCCCCACCACCCACCAGCTCCCTGCAGCCGGCCGGGGCCCTTGCGTGGAAGGCCACTTTCCCGAGCTGTCCTGTGTCCTCATGTCCTGCAGCCGGGAGGGGAGGCGGCGCTGCTGGGCGGCCGTGGTGGCAGTTGCTGCTCAGAGAGCCAGGAAACCCCAGTCCCTTGGGGGGCTCTCAGGCCTCTGATATCGGTCTGTGCCGAGGCACTATCTCTCTGGACATCGCTTCCTCACTGCTTCCTGCCCGGGAGAACAGGAGAATAGTGTCTAGCTCTGGGAGTGTGTGGGGCTGCTTGGGAGGTGGTGGTGTGTGTGGGGGGGGGAGAGAGAGCAGGAAACCCCTCCCTCCCTCCCAAGGAACCCCTCCCTCTTGTCCTGGGCAGGCTTGCGGGGCCCAGCCCCTCCAAACTGCCTCTTTCCCCCAGTTCCCGGCTCTGTGTAGGCTGGAGGCGTGTAGGGAGAGCTCCCGGTCCCACGAGCTGCCTCCTGGGGTGAGTATGGGATCCCCGGGGTTTGGCCCTCGACACCCATCTACTCCCTTGTGGGAAGGGTGGGGAGAGTGCGGACCACACCGACCCTTCCCTCTTCTTCCCCAAGCCTGAGCGTGGCAGGGTTGACCAGAGCGGGTGGCCTCGCTCGCCCATGCCATGCGAGGGGCTTGGAGCAAGGCTCCAGTCGGACGCTTGGCTGTGGCAGCCACCTGCACAGGGCGCCTGCTGGCCAGCCGGTTGAGCAGGAGAGGCCCCTTGTTCAGGGTCTGCCCCCTCGCCCGTGGGGCATAACCGCTCCTTCCTCTCTTTGCCTTTGGGGGCAATTTGCCTTCCTGGCGCCAGAGGAGTGCCCACGAAATCCGGGCAGGATCCCGTGGGGTTGCCAGCCCCCCCCCTCCCATGGGAATCCTGCCTGGGATGTTCCGAGCTGGCTCCTGGGTTAGCTGTGCCGGTGGGTGGGATTGGAGGCTGTGACCAGCGCCGGCTGGGAAGTTCCCGGTTTGGATTTCGGGCCCAGTGTCAGCTTGCTGGTCTGCTGAGTGTTGGTGCTTTTGTGGGCATGTGGCAGAGGGGGAGACGGATGGCGTGCGTGGCTTCTCCCATCTCTTCTCCAATCCTGGGGGGGGGGCCAAGAGGGAGCTGTACCACCTGTGGTCCTTCGCAGCACACCTGGTGTACCTTCCCACTTAGGGCTTGAGAAGGTTACTCTCCGGGAACCCCAGCATCCCCCGGCCAGCACTGGGCACCCTGGCAGTTGTGATTCAAGAGAAGTAACCCCCACCCCCAGCTCCGCTCCGGGTTTTGCCCCCGCTGCTTGCCCATCTCTGAGGCGGGTCTCTCTTGGGCGGATTCAGTGCTGCCGGCTGCTTCCTCTGTTTACTGGGTGGTGTGACGGCCGCCCTGCCCAACCGCTCAGCCTTCCACCTCTGCTCCCCCTGCCATCCAAGGTGGCTGCTGCTGGCGACCAGGCTCAATGCCCTGACCCTGCCAGCCCGGGGGGGGGGACGACTTGGTGTGGGGCGGTCTCCTCCATTCCCAGTTTCTCTCCCTGGGCTGCCTTTTGCGGGGCCTCCTCCGATCTTCTCCCTCCGACAGCCCGCCCGCCTGCCCGCCTGCCTGGGGCTCCGTCGGTGGGAGTCTCCCAAGCGTCCCCTGCCAGCCTGCCTGCCTGCCTGCCTGGGGAAAGAGGGCTCTCCCGCCTCTGCTGGGAAAGTTTGGGTTTTGAAACAAGTTTTCCAGACATGCTGCCTTGCGGGTTCTGAGACAGGCAGTCCCCCCCCCCGCAAAAAAAAATCCAGACTTTGCCAGGCTCCAGAATTGCTTCAGACGGCACAGCCTGGGGATTTTAAGCAAACAAACTGTGTGTACCAAACATTGTTGTGGTTTTTCACTTGGCTGCCAAGTCTTTTGAGGGAGGCGGGTGGGGGGGGGGCTCCTCAGTTTTGCTCTCTGACCAGGAGCAGCAGTGCCTCTTGTACATGTGCCCGTGTGTGCCTGCCTGCGTGCCTCTCTCTCTCTTTCTGTCTCACGTACACTCTCATTTCCCCTCCCTCCCTCCCTCCTTACCATGCAGGCCATGGAGGGTTTTGTGGTTCTCCCTGTTGCGCACTTATCTTCACAACACCCCCGTAGGAGTCCCTGACGGGCCTCAGTCCCTCATCGGTAGTGCTTGGCTTTCTAGAGGCGTGGCTAACACTAGTGGCTTCGTACTCTCCTGCTTCTGGTGTGCGTGTGTTGGGGAGGGTGATGCCATGGTGCAAAACGGCTGGCTACCACCAGGCACACCCCCAAAGATCTCCAGCAGTCGCCGGCCACCTGGGGTGTCCCCCCTGCCCCTGCCTACATATACACACAGAGCGGAGAGGGAAAGAAAAAAGCCAGCCCCTCTTGCCGGCTGCTTTGCATGTCTCTCTCCAAACTGCCCCAAAGGATTGCTGTGTGAGACCAGGGATCTCCATCCCTTGAACCCAGTTCCTGCCCCACCCCCCACCCCCATGCTTCCCACCGATACACTGAGGACTGCTCTCCATTGGCTTTCCAAAAGAGCTCTTCTGCGATGGATCGTGTGACTTCTGGGGTGGAGGGGGTGTCTTCCCCTCTCCCTCCCTCCCTCCCCCCCTTTCCCACCCATCCATCCTTCCATCCATAGGTATTTGTGTCAACCTTTCTGCATGCCTTGAATTCTCCAGTCCAAGAGCAGGGAATATCCGGCTGCTGGTGGCTTGGGGAGCAGAGTGGTTCAGGCTGTCCCTGGCAAAGGGAATGGGTGGGTAGGTGTGGGGTGCATGGGAAGGAGATGCCAGGTGCACATGAGCAGGTGGGAGAAGGATCCAGTGGAGCTGGACTGTGGGGCACAGAGGTGGCCTCACTGGGGAGGCCCCTTACATCCATTGGGATTCCCCCATTTCCCTGGGCTTCTCTGAAGCTCCCTGGCCAGCTGAGGGTGGGCAGAAGTGTGTGTGGGGGGTGGGGTGGGGGACTCCTCATGAGTGCTGTTCCTTCTCATTCCGGACCCCCCCTCCCCCATATCTTGCCTTCCGACTGGCAGAAGGAACGTGCCCATCCTCCGGCCGCACTCATGGCACCTGGCCAAGCTCTCCGAGGCCCGGACTGAGACGACCGCCATGCCCTGCCCCGCTGATGCCTTCAGCCTCTCTTGGCACTCGGGATGTGACACCAGGTGAGTGGGGGGGCGGGAGTGGGGGGGACGCAGTCCAGGCACTCTGGCACACACACCCCGTGCCTTAGATGCCTGCTGCCAAGGGACGACAGCCCCTCCCCTGGGTCTCTCTTTTGAGGCATAGATGGGTGTCCCCCCCCCCAAACACACACACACACACACACACAGAGGCACAACCAGGGGCTGTCCAAAGGCGCGGGGGAGCATCCCTTAAGGGCTTAGGCCAAGGGCAGGCTCCTGGTTGGTGTTGCTCCAGCGGACTAATGGCGGGGAGTCGTGTTCCCGGTCCCCTTGGGGGTCGTGGGCCACCCCTGTTTTGCTGAGCCTTTTTGCCCTGGCAGAAGGCAGCCTCCCTGGCCAGATTGGAGGAGTGGGCAGTCCTGCTTTGGGCCCAGTTTCCTTCAGGGCCTTCTGCAGGTGTTTGCCTTGCCCTGCCTGGGAGCACAGGGGAGGGTGTTGGCATTGCTGCCCCACCACCGCCACCCCTTTCCCCCTGCCTGCCTGCCTGCCTGCCTGCCTGCTTGCCCGCCCCACTGGGCCTGTCCGTGGGAGCGTCTCCCGGCAGTCTGGCTCCTTCCTTCCTTTCCCTCCCCAGCGCTGGGGCATCACACGGGATGGTTTGCTGGGCCGGCTCCCACACCCCAATATTTCCCCTTCCTTTGCTTGGCGTATGTGTTTGGGCTGAGCTTGCTTGCGCTCCTCCCCATCAGGAAGGGAGGTGGCTCCCGGGCCGCTCTGGCTGCCAGCAGGAGGGGGTCATGCATTCCAGATCTCTTGCCCAAGTGACG